TAAAACACGTCCAGCTACCATCTGTGACTGTTCACTCTAAACACGTAGCAGTAACCATCTGTGACTGTTCACTTCTAAAACACGTCCAGTACCATCTGTGACTGTTCACTCTAAACACGTTCCAGTGCCATCTGTGACTGTTCACTCTAAACACGTCCAGTACCATCTGTGACTGTTCACTCTAGAACAGCTCTTGCACAACTGTGACTGCGTTCACCAAAAATGCAAGCGTGCTAAACGTAATATTTGTGACGCAAGGGCCACGCGAACGAACACAACACGGTGTCGACCTCCACCACGGTAACCCTATGTTAAACCACGTTAATTCCTATATATATAATATATATATATATATAATATAATATATATCTCCTCTTTCTCTCTCTCTCATCTCTCTCTCTTCTATCTTCTCTTCTCTCTCTCTCTCTCTCTCTCCATCTCTCTCTCTCTCTCTCTCCTCTCTCTCCTCTCTTCTCTCTCTCTCTCTTCTCTCTCTCTCTCTCTCTCTCTTCTTCTCTCTCGTCTCTCTCTTCTCGTCTCTCTCGCTCTCTCTCTCCTTGTCTCTCATACCATCTTCTCTCTCTCTCTCGCTCCTCAATTCTCTCCGCTCCATCATCTCTCCCTTAATGCAGCAACACGTCCACAACTGTCCCTGTATCTCTCTCCCTCCTTCTGTTCCCTCCCTCTCTCTCTCTCCTCTTCTCATCCTCTCTTCTCTTTCTCTCTCTGTCTGCGAGTCTCTCCGTCTCCTCTGTTCTCTCTCTTCATCTTCTCTCTCTATAATATATATATATATATCAGTCCTATAATCTCCTCTGTCTGCCGGCGGCTGTGTAGGTGGTGACGGCGCTCGGCAGGACGTGGCACGTCGATCACTTCACGTGCGCCCACTGCAGGGTGCCGCTCGGCAACAGCAGCTTCTACGAGAAGGAGAACCAACCGTACTGCGAGGAGGACTACCACGAGCTGTTCTCGCCCAAGTGCAAGAACTGCGGCAAGGCCATAACAGATGTGCGTGAGCCCCAGCTGCCGCTAGAGCCTGATTTTACATCTCCCGCAAAGCGGTTGCTGTTTGTTTTCGTTGTGTATCGCACGGGGGAATCTTAGCGATTGATTAACGCGGCGATATAGCTCAATATGACACGAATAAATTTCTAGCGTAAATAATGGATAGCTAACTAAATATATAAATAAATGTGTGCGTGTGTGCGTGCGTGCGCGCGCGCGTGTGTCTAGGTCGGTTTAAGAAGGTGATCGCGTACCATCATAACCTACGCTTGATATTCGCATTGCTATAGCCCTAACTCCACGCACCCTTCTTCGTTCCCTTCAGCTCGTATCACCCCTCCCCATTGACGAAGATGTGCGCGTGTATGTATGCATGTATGTGTGTGTGTGTGTGTGTGTGTGTGTGTGCGTGCGTGCGTGCGTGCGTGCGTGCGTGCGTGCGTGCGTGCGTGCGTGCATGCATGCATGCATGTATGTATATATATATATGTGTATATATCTAGCCCGCGTATACATTACAGAGCTGCGTGACGGCGTTGGGGGAGACGTGGCACCCGGAGCATTTCTGCTGCGCCGAGTGCGGCGGCGAGTTTGGCGACGACGGCTTCCACGAGCGCGACGGTCGGCCGTACTGTCGGCACGACTACTTCGAGCTGTTCGCGGCGAAGTGCGCCTCGTGCAGCGACCCGATCACAGAGAACTACATCTCTGCTCTCGGCACGCAGTGGCATCCCGATTGCTTCGTCTGCATGGTGAGTGCGCATGCGCGTGTCGGTGCACGTCCAGCTCTCCCGCTGATTGAGAAAGGTTACGTTAACGATTGTACCCACGAGAATATATACGTACATAAGTAACTAGTTAAATAAATATATAAATAACTTAATTAATGAGTTAATTAATTAATTAATTAACTAACTCATTAATTAATTCATCATTTAATAAGTAAACATATGTAATAAATAACAGTGCAAACGGCTAACCGTTGAATAATATATGCTCGCATGTATGTTTTTTGCACTGCTAATTTTTTTCACAGGACTGCCACACGCCATTTAATGGTGGTTCATTCTTCGATCACGGAGGCATGCCGTACTGTGAGACGCACTACCACGCCAAGAGAGGCTCGCTATGCGCGGGCTGTGGCAAGCCCATTACGGGGCGATGTATAACTGCTATGCAAAAGTAAGAACATTTGCGTAGCGGCAGTTTCGTTGAGTAGAGGACATGGCGGGTGCCGCCGAGAGTTGCGACTATTTTGCCGTCTTCTGATTATTCACTCCAGTTAAGTTTCTATGGCTTGTGCTAACCGTAAATTCAAAAATACACTTAACAAGGAACAATTCTTCTCGCTCTATCTCGCTCATGGGATGTAGTTACACGAAAGGCTACTCTGCTGCATAAATATATTATACGAAGCAGTGTCAATTGCTCCCACCCTGTCTAGCTCCATAGTCAATAGGGTATGTTACTGAATATGCTACTATGCGTGAAGAGAAATAAATGAGAGAGGATAATCATGCGTGATAATTATAAGTGAAAATAAGTTTAGATTATCACATCATTACTATGCCTTCTCGTTGTCATTTCTGATGAACATTTACGAATTGTTTTCCATGTTTCAGGAAGTTTCATCCAGAGCACTTTGTGTGCGCATTCTGTTTGCGCCAGCTGAACAAGGGAACGTTCAAAGAACAAAACGGAAAACCGTACTGTCACACCTGTCACAATAAGGTATTCCAGGTGTAGAAGTTACTACTACTTCCACTGCAGCGCTCGTATCACACGTGCATTGGAGGACTGACTGAACAAAGAAAGAACTCCGTCATCCTCAGTTGACCTTATATAACTTATATAAAGATAGCTGCGAGGTGTAACAACTCATAGCTGTACGCGTGCGTTATTCAAGTACTATATAACTGCGTTTTACGTAATCAGGATCCCCTTACAGCGAGAAGACGCGGTGTGTGAACGTAAGCCACCCGCGGCCTCTTCTGGTGCTGCTCCTCATCCACCCACTCACTCCCATCTCCTCCATTTCCTCATATATTTTTCTTTTTCTCTTCCTCCCTCTCCCCCTTCTCCTCCTCCTTCTTCTTGTTCTTTTTATTCCTCTATAAGTAGTCGGGTATGCACAGAGTCTGTAACTGCGTCCCTGCAGAGTGTTGTCGTATGTTGTGCGTTCATCACACCTTTCGCACATCGTGTTTTTGGTACGAAATGCTTTATATATTTACGCACGTCACACTCTAACATGCCGGTGACAACATGTGAACGTGCGCGAGCACTGCTGTGCGTAATAATTACAATCGTTTCTGTCTAGCTGAACAAATAATTAGTACTTACGCGAATGTATAAACGCAAACGTGTTTTACGTTTATATCACGAAGGACACAAACGCGAACGGTGACCGCTTGGCCACCACGACGTGTCGTTTAGTGTCGTTGCAAACACCGCGACTTGTCAAGTATTTTTCGTAATCGCTCGCAGCCAGTGGGATGTTATGGACACAAGTATTAAGCGCCCTCTACGCACGCGCGAGACTGCAATGTCTACGGGGTGCAATTTAAACTCCTTGGCTTCCCAATATGGCTCCATTGGCTTCCCAACAACTCGCCAGGCAATTTAAATTTACTGAGCGACGGTGATGCGTGGAAAGGTTGCGTGCGTGCGCGTGCGTGCGTGTGCGTGCGTGGACATTTATCTCACGAGAATTACTGCATAATGAATAATGTGATATGGAAGTATTCACATACAGTGCCGTATGACACACACGTGACGTTCTGATGCCATGAGCTGGAAGCCCATAACATTGGGACGCCTTTCAGTTTCCAGAATTCTATATACGGGCCAGTCGCGACGTATTGGCGTTTCAGCTTTAAATTAAATATATAGAGTCATTCGAAATTCGAACGGGCGGCTACCCCGGTTAGCGATGCACACTTGAGTTTGCTAGATGCCCTTCTAAAATCACCATCGCGCGATGTGTGCGTCATTGCGTGACGCACTCACCACATGCGAGCTCACGATACGTTTGTTGCACGGCGTCGCATATTTCTGTTCTGTTTACGCTCCTTTCGACGTCGAAGTTGAAGTGGGGGATCTCCTGGTTGAAGTAGAAGATGTCGTGATTGAAGAAACGGGAGACGTCGCTGTTAAAAAGGGCAACACCGGAGTTGTGAATTGATTCAAAACAGACGACGCGACGGCAATATTATGGAACAGAAAAATACAACGCCGTGCGCGAAAATCCATATATAGAGAATCAAATCAAAGTAGCTTACATCGTGTAATGACAATTTACACATTTAATTAATAACAAATTGATGCACGCTACTATGCTATTCTACTAGTGTGCAGCTGTAGGTTATTCTACCTCACAAATTTCAAAATATGAATGGAGATTTTCGGCAACCTTCAAGATTCGAAGCAAACCTGTTAGCGAACGCCTAGCTTGTGTGCCGGACTCGTGCACTAATGCTTGGTAGTGGTAACAGGGGTGTGTGTTAACCCTTCTTTTAACCCTTCGATGGTGTGTGTATAGTTTACGCTAGATCCAGGCTTGAGAGAACACGAGTGTACGTAGCTCGGTAGCCTCTATAACCGATTTAATTTAACGTTATGATTGTGTAAATTATATAATAACATATTAGCTAATAGCTATCATATTTTTTCACTCAAAGGTTTAATACAGCGACAGTAGATGTCCAACAGTAGGTTACTGCTAGAAAGCGTATAGGCTGGTGTTAAAAAAAACCATCGTGCATGTTTTATAGTTTGGATATATCTGAACTGCAAATATTTCAGCAGATATAGTCGGAACTATTCTATAATAATGGTTTCACAGCTCCTAATATATGCATGGTTTATAAGAGTCATTCATGAATAATACAAAGTAAAATTAGTACTGTTCGTAAACACTTGATTATTTTGAAGGCATCTCTGCTAAAAGAAGTGTGACAAAGTGTTAAACAGCTGCAGGGTGCCACGGGTCTGCATAAATGCTGGTTTCCAACATGTTTGATAGCAAGCCTTCAACATTTTGATACAGTTACCTTTCCAACGTGGATGGCTCTCCAATAGTGCATTGCGCGTGTAAAGTGATATTATTCCATGATGAATATTTTAGCAGGTGTAACGATGTAATTTATAATTGACAGTTTGTATATCAATGGTTTGTAATTAGGAATTTCGTCGCATGACCAGTGTAGAAGCGAACATATTCATGCGGTTGGAAAATGTAGTTACGAATAGGATGTTGATAATGTAGAGAAATTCTAGTCATTCTGCGCATTTTATGGGCTGGGCTGCAATATTCAAGTAGAATTACTATTATTATTTCCAAAGTGGATCACGGCATTAGCCGGTGCATGGATTCTGGGTTGGCCGTGTCCCAACCTGGGACATAGCGATTCAATCCAGAATTTTTCGCAGGACGTGTGCTGGTTCCAGTAGAGCGATTTTCTGCACTTTTGCACTATTATTATTATTGATATCATTATTATCATCGTAATTATTATTATTATCAAGTAGCAAGAAGAAAACGACAGAACACACATGTAACCATATAGGCACAGATGGGTAAACATACTCGGAATGTTTAGCGACTATATTATACGTTGTTGTAGATGCTTTACGATATGGCAGCAGCTGTATCTAGCAATCCGATGTAATCTGTAAATATACCTGTAAGGTCACGAAGCTTTAGCTACAATTAATTTTACATCTGTTTACATGCGGTTCATGTTGGAAGCAATATGTACAGCCGTGCAAGTTTTAATTTTAACATTTGAGCCCGTTCAAAACCCGACAAGCAATGAAATGTAGTTAAATGATTCCTTAGTAAGGTGGAAAGAAATATAATTTTGTATATCGTAGATTTAGATTGTTACATTTTAGCTTATGTGCTAAATTTTTACGTGCTTTAACGAATCTGATGTGCATAACTAAAGTTACCAGACAGGCTCCACATCAGACCTACAGCCATGAACATATTTAGCATTTCGTTTTTCGAGCAAGTAGTTTCAAACATTCACGTAGAAGTATTATGTTCATATGTCAGCTACATAGCATATCGCCCCTGCTGTTCCCAGCTGTATGCATGGTGCCCAGTGTAGTGACACCTCGCCAAAAGATACGCGTGTAGACAAAGAAACCTAGAAGCGTTTTACCATCTCTAGGACACGCGTATTTACCGTGCAGTTAAGCAAAGAATGACCGTTTCGCCTACTTAATGCGGGTTTTAGCTTCTTAAACAATGAACCGAGTGCAGCCAACATGTGATGAACAAGTAACGTCTTGGGTTTAGCAAGGGGTGCTATATATAAGATCTCCACTAAACTACTTAATATTAGCGATGACTTTTATAAATGTAACTGATGGGTTCATTTACCAATAGCAGTGTGCATATTGATGTACTGTACACCAACCTGGTGACCACGTGTGTAATGGCGCCGCAAGAGACAAAAGTTGATACAAATAACAAAATAAAAAAACATTTGTGTAAACATAACGACGTTGAGAATTGGTCGTGTAATTTTATTGCCGTGTAAAGGTTGCACGTAGGTACAGGGCAACATGGACGGATGCGGATTGTATCTCAACAGCTACGAAAATATTGCTATAATCAAAATAGAAGTGCTTACGTGTAATTGCGTCCGCACACTAATTCTCATCCTAAATCTAACCCATTGCCGCGCTCCTAACGACTTTCAGAAAGCTGATTCTCTCTTTCTCCCCCTCTCTCTCTCTCTCTCTCTCTCTCTCTCTCTCTCTCTCCCTCTCTCCCCCTCTCTCTCTCTCTCTCTCTCTCTCTCTACCTTCTCCATTCTTAAGTTCGTTTAATGTAAGTGTGTGGCACTGCAACGTGGCTGTACGTAGCGGGTACCAGCTCTCTACATATGTGCGGCCTTTCTGTACCACAAAAACGCCGTCGCGGTGCGTTAACATCTTAAAAATCACAATATAGGTGAAAAATAAACTAAGAAATTTACGCGCAGCGACACGTAATGGAAATAGTTCATGATAACTAGTTCAACATTCAACCAATAACTAGCACTCTTCGTAATCATAAACGATTAAAATATTTACTAATAATTACGATAATACAAGAAATGGCATCGCTTAAAATGACCTTCTTTGCTAACACGGGGAACAAGACCGAGTTTTTTATCCGATAAAAAATCAATCGATATTGCACTGCTATGTTCGTGCTCTACTATAAGGAGCGTCTGTTCTTATTAGTGTATGGGTTGTCAAATCTCTCAGTATGCGACTGAGGGAAAACAAGGTAAAACTGTGACAACCGAACGCCCTTATATCATTTGGCAGAAGGGCACGTGGAATGTATATCTTAGAATATTACTGTCAAAATTTACCAAAATATATCATTTTTCATATGAAGTCAATGAGGGAGATCTGAATTCACATCTCTGGCATGACTGAATGTAAGACATAGCAAGATTTTGCCAACACAGTTCACTTGTTCAATATACCTTGTACGGTAACTCTCTTGCTCTCTAATCTTCTCCGGCTCCTAGTCACTTATTCACCGGCTGGTGCGATTGTTATAAACAAAAGGTGCTGAATAAAGATCTACATCAATCTATCTATCTACATATCTCTCTATTCTAGCTTCTATGCATGCTCAACGCATATACGTAGTATGTTTTCTCTTCACCAACATGACCACAAACAGCGGCTATAATTTTATGTTACAAAATCACTTTTGCAAAAATGGCACAATGGTACATAACCGTTGTCAAAACAAGATAACAGTGCTATAAACAAAAACTCAAATTTAACATAAAAGGCTACAGTGTGACCTTGCACTATTAATAGTATACCTGTCTATACATTTTGTTTAGGAAATATGATCACTAGAGCATTCGAAAAACTGTTCGAACTGAAACACCTGAGACACTCTCCCATATAAAACTAAACAGAATAACACAACGTTTTGTAAAATTTATGCATTTACGTTAATAGTCCATCTAGCTAACTATTTTGTTGATGCTCATGTAACATATTTTTGCAATTTAATATGTACTTCTTCAAACTCTAGGCCAGGGCTATTGCAACACAATCGTCTTCCTGGTATGTGACAATCAATGTACAATGGTCCCTGTAAGTGCACCTGGGGCCCGTTGTCAGAAACAAATTAGTCTTAAAATTAATCGTAACTTTACGAAGTTTCTGGCAACGGGCCCCTGGTATATCGCCATTCCTGTCATGATCAGTATCTCATCTTGAAGATTGTTTATCGCATTGGCAATTATGAGCTAATAACATAATGACCTTGGTCGACAAATGTGAATGTAATGAGGTATACCACTTGTCAGCAACAGTCCTGGCATTGCAGAGAAAAATACTTCTCTGAGTTCTCTCGTTCTATGACACACATTACAGCTTATAAATTCTACTAAAATAGAATCTGAATTTGGTCCCCAAGTCATTTGTCAAATACGAAATTATGCATTAAAATATGATAAATGGAATGAATAAATGAAATCGGATAAATTCAGTTAAGAACTTAAACGGGACATCATTATGGGCAGTGCTTCTGATAAATGCTTCATCGCAGCATTACACATCTACAAATATAGGCCACTGCACCAGTTCTCTTGCTGCCGGCCTCTCCTTGGGACACATCTTCATGCATTGCATAGCAAAGTTCTTCAGCTCCGCGCACAAGCGATCGGGAAGCGGAGGCGGCGTTTTCGAGTTACCTATCTTCCACCAGAGCTGGAAGTGGTTGGAGATGTCGGTGGCGCCCCACGGTGGCTGCGCAGATGACATCTCGATCACGCAGCAGCCGACGGCCCATATGTCGCAGCTCCTGCCGTAGTCCTCCCCCCTCAGCACCTCGGGCGCCATGAACGCCCACGTTCCCACCGGCTGCTTCTCAAACTCTCCTGATCGACACGTAAACAATTCGACCGGTTACCACGGCGATACTCGAACAGTCGACACACGTCCTGCTCTGTGAGAAGTGTAGCATTGTGAAACCACAGTTCTACTGCGTAACATAGAGATGCAATCCGATTCTATTCTAGGTGCTCTTGGCCACTGCAGGTTGTGCGTGTGTGTCTCGTAACATATATATATATATATCTTTAGAAAATAACTACCTATATTATATATGACATCGTCAACCATCATTGCCTGTCAACAACCACCACCCCTACATTCGACGACAATAAACCTGCCCTACAGAAGCATGGCGGAGACGATACACACCATACGTACGATACACACGGCGAAGAAGAGACATACCTGGTGCGGTGGTGCTGGCAGCTATGAACGACCATTAACCCCGCAATACTCAGACATGTCGTGTCGACACACGGTCAGCTGTGTGGGAAGCATAGCGGACACGATAAATACCATATATATACGATACACACGGCAAAGAACAGACATACCTGGTGCGGTGGCGCTGGCAGCTAGGCGTGCCGCGATGCCAAAGTCAGCTATCTTCAGCCGCTGGCCGGTGCTGTCGACGAGCAGGTTCGCGCCCTTCAGGTCGCGGTGCAGAATCTTCTTGTCGTGTAAGTAGACGAGGCCCAGGAGCACCTGCAGCAATACGCGTGCGCGCACAAAATATCAAAATCGGTGTCCGAACTTATGTTGAGGTCCGTCGAGGTGTCAAAAACGAATTCCGAATTCATATTTAATAATATATATAAGAATTTATATTTAACAAGAGCCGCAGAGCGTCTGGGCTCATCTGGGGTCTGTTGCTACGGTTATGAACGTACAATTTCAGTCGTGCGTAGTGACACATTTGTTAGGCACAGATATGCAGATACGAAGTTGCGTACACATCATTGTTAGGACACGCTCACTATCTCCCCCTCATGCGATTTTGGTTTATTTTATTAAATGATACTTGCCTTTCACTTCGAATTTGTGTCATAGATTCACAGCTATCTATTTTTATCTATCTATAAAAGAT